GATTCCTACTTTTCCCAAGCACAAAGTGAACAAAGCAAAATCATGCGAGAATTGAACTTGGCACACTTACTGAACTCACTTTCTATGCCAATAACTCTTACGCTATACATGCCTTCTTACAAGCTCATAGACAAAGTAAAAATAACTACTCTTAAATGTAACTGATTTGCCTGCACTCTTTGATATAATTTCTAGCAAATCCTTGATACTATTTGGACACATTAAAAGATCTAGTGCATTGTTAAATTGTGTCTTGAGTGTATGATGCCTAGAAAAAGAAGTAGAGAAAAAGCAAAGAAGACGTGGAGGGATAACACAATTCTGTGGTCACCAACAAAATCAGTGGCAGACATTAAATAAGCTTGCTCAAATTTGTAATGGCGGGAAGTAAATCAAGTTAGCAATTTGCTGCAGGCAGAAACAGCAACTAAGGTTGATGTAGCTACCTTGCGGTTGCAAGTTCACTCCCTGCCTTAGGTATTAAGATTAAAAAAAATATCTTGTATTTTTTCATTACAATAAACACCTTAATACAAGTTAAAGAAAATATTCATTATCCTACCTAAAACATTTTGTCTAGTCTTTATATCTGTAAATCTTTTTCATGGTACATTTTACAGTAGGAATGGACAAGAAAAGAGCATCAGAAAAAAAACAACACAAAAATCAACTTCGGATACTAAATGTTGAAAATATTATCTTTCTCATTTTATCTATTATATAGATTTAAAATTTATTGTATTTATAAGGGAAAAGTGTTCATCATCAGACAGAATATTTGTATATATATAGAAATCAACGCAGCATGGTGGCTGTCATTTTCATTCCTCAGGCAATTTTTATGCCATGTGTCACTGCTCTTTGTGTGGGCTTTATAGATAGACTACTTAGGACATATGTTTTAGGTTATTCTCTTGAGCATGAGTTTTTTACTTATTTATTTGTGTATTTTTGTTGGTTTGAAATCTTGGTATTTGGCAAAACAATTATTAATTTTCTATTTCATTCTTGCATTTGAAAATAAACTGATTTTTTTTTTTTTTTTTTTTTTTTTAATTTTTTTTTAAGTGTTTATATTGTTATGAAAATGTGATAATTGCTATTTTCTCTAGGCAAAGGCTGAGGTATAAGCAGGTGTTGTTTTGCTATATATATATATATATATATATATATATATATATATATATACACACACAATTTATTTCAACTATTTTTTCTCACCTTGATTTTATATAATATATATATATATATATATATGCAAAATTAAATGAATATTAAAACCTGTTTAGATTATAAGATATGAGTATATGTAATAACTATTAGGCATAAGAGCCTTTAAGAAAAGAATAGAGTTCTTGGCTTAAATTTATTTTTGTCTCATTATAAATATATAAATAGACTTGTAAGATCTGACATAGTGTACATATCTACACACCTATTCCAATTATGAAGATATATTAATATACTCTTTTGTACCAAATACAAGGGCCATTTGGAATAGTCATGCCGGGAGGAAGTTTTCAACTTGTAAACTAAGCAGAGATATCTTTTGTTCTTGAAACAAAGAAAAACTCGGAAAAAATTATTTGCCAAATAATAAGCATACTGCATCAAATAATCACTATGTTTAGAGGGGAAAATTGAAGGAAATAATTTATTTGATATACAAATTGCCTCAACATGAAGGAAATGGTTAACAAGTTGGCCTAGAAGACAATTCTTTTTGGATGATTTGCATGCACTTCTTACATACATACATACATACATACAAGTATGAATTCACATGCACACTATCAAGTATGTCAATTAAATCTTGATTCTCCTGTCTTAGCAACCTTGTTATTTTGACTTCCTTGGGCCCTTTCAACCAAACAATGGCCTCTATGCTGACATTTAAAAAAATGATTGGTCAAGTCAAACTAGACACTTGATATTTTCTTCGTATGAAAAACCTTCTTGCTGTAAAGGTTCGATTTCCGCAAATATAGAATTAATATTTCCTTTAAAGATTCCAAAGTAGTTCCTGAATTCTTTTGTTACTTTCTCTAAAAAACATGATTTTCATAAAATATTCAGTTTAGAAAATAGTTTATCTTTTAGTGTATTCACTTCTGGTTATAAACATTTTGTAAAGGAATGTTTGCTGTCAGTAGCAGATATTGTTTTCATAAAATCTGAGTGCCATATTTTTAAGTCTTCACTTCATTTTCCATCAGCTTTTTCATTTTTACTGCAAAACATTTGAAAAATGTAGTTATATTCTTGTGCAGCCATATTATAAAATATAAGGTTTATAGTGCTTTAATATGTGCTGAACATATACAGAAATAGGGGTGTGTGCTTATATACATACATATACACACACAAACACATACATAAGTGAACATTGAAGTCAACATTTAGAGGCGACAGGCTGTTTCATGCTAGACACAAATGACATCTAGCATGAAACAGGCTGTCGCCTCTGAGTGTTGCATTAAAAAAAATAAAATTTCAAGAACATCTCTTACTCATTTTCATTTATTAGACATTGAATTGTGTCACTTCACACCATCCATAGCTTGTCTGACAATTTGGCTAAACTGATTTATGAGCATTTTTGAATTTAAAAAATTCTGAAAAATTAAAACATTTTTGCACTTGTATATAAATACTTGTTACCAAAGAAAATCCTTGCATTTGCTTTGATAAAATCCCTTAGTACGAAATGTGGCAGCTAAGTTTTTCTTTTATTTTGATTACCGAAGGTAACTTTAAGAAGAGGTGTTACAATCACAAGTCATCTTTTAAGCTAGAAAGTTTTAGGAATTCGACTAGACTAGCCAATCATGTGTGGGAATTAAAGGAAAAAAATCAGATTGTAAAGTGGAAAATTAAAAAAAAAAAGCCGAAACTTACAATCGTAGTAATAACTGCAACCTTTGTCAACAAGAAAAGTTAGCTATAATAACATTTCCAGATCAAAAAACCTTTTGAATGAGAGATTGGAAATTATGACCTATTGTATAGATACTAAAATGTTCCTTTTGAGTTCATATGAAGTGGGATGGAAAGAAAGTATGTGTATTTCATTTAACCCATCACTGATACATTTCCAATACACTTTCTTTCCTCCTCCTCACCTTCTACCACACTTCATGTACTTATTTATTTTTAAATAGCATTCATAATTTTTTTTTTTTTTTTTTTTTTTAAATAAAAAGTCATTAGGAAATCAATTGACCAAAATTGCCTGAAGATACCAAAAGGTTTCAACCTTTTGATATCTTCAGGTAGTGGAATACCTTGGATACCTTTTTATATCCAAAGTAGTGGAATCAGCTGATGTTCTAGGCTGATATATATATATATATATATATATATATATATATATATATATATATATATAAGGGTATTTATTCTTTACAATGTAAATAAGCATTTTACTCGGACCTAACCATTTTAATGAGTGTTTATTCATTAGTCATCAAATTTCATTATAAAAACTGGAAAAAAGATTGCATTTTCACTTTACAGTGTCTCATACACAAGAAGCATGAAAATTGGCAGATTTCAGGAGTGGAGTAAGTCATTAATGAAATTCTGTGGAGCATTGCTGCAAAATGGTCATGGTTTAATAACATGTTCAGATAGTTATGCAGATCCAACACACACCATAGGAACACTCCTGATACCATTATGGAACCACCACTAGCTTACACAATGCCTCAAGGATAAATAAATTCAATGCCTCATGGGGCCTGTGCCACACTCAAATCCTAACATCAGGCCAAGGCAACTGAAACTGTATCTAATTGTATCATGATCAAACTTGTCTATTACTGCAGACAATTCTAGCCATATACCTCTGTTCATGATTATAAAAGATTCCTGGTTGATCACTGGACTATTCGTGATGGCCAGTAATACCATCTATGAGGGATTTCTCGTACACACTTGACCTTGTATATTAAAGGATGCCAAATGTCCTATCCATTTAGTAACCACTATCATGTCCTTTTGAGATGCCTGATAATTTGCATTACCTTGCCATGAGTACACAAGTTGGCATTCACAAGGACTCACCAGATGTTAGAGCACATCTGATATAGATCTGGGAACTTCAATGGTGTCAAAGTATGGTGGCACCACTAACCATTTCCTTTACATGCTGCTATCCCAAGACTTTTGGCATGTCTGTACTTCTGTTACAAATCTTTAATGCCTTATGTTTGCCAAGTTCTGTACATTGAAGTAATTATAAAATCTTCAAGATAGTCATTTATTATTGCTATAAGAATACCATTTGTCTCTAGTTAATCTAATGCTATTTTTTAAAGAATGATTCTTCACTAAATTATTCTTATTTTATATTTGCATTCTTTTCACAAATTATTTCTTATCCATGTTCTTTTGAATGGCTGACAATCATTAAGAGAAAAATTCTTAATGATACTTTGAAGAATTCTTTGGCACTGTCTTTAATTACAAGTTTTTCTTGCAAGATAGAAAAATGATTTCTAATTTAAAAGCTCTGTATCATATTGATATAATTGTATGTAGGCTATAAGAAATTAGAAAAAATATTCTATTTTAGCAGCTCAATGTATTTTGCATGGAGCAAATGCATAACCCCCAATATTGAATTGAGCCTATATAATGAATACTTGTCACCTTTTCTCACTCCTCCATGTCTCTTTCTAATAATTACACTCTTCCACATCTCTCTTACTAATAATTACACTCTTCCGAGCCTCTCTCTCTCTCACTAATAATTAGACTCTTCCTAGCCTGTCTCTCTCTCTCACTAATAATTAGACTCTTCCGAGCCTGTCTCTCTCTCTCTCACTAATAATTAGACTCTTCCGAGCCTGTCTCTCTCTCTCACTAATAATTAGACTCTTCCGAGCCTGTCTCTCTCTCTCTCACTAATAATTAGACTCTTCCGAGCCTGTCTCTCTCTCTCTCACTAATAATTAGACTCTTCCGAGCCTGTCTCTCTCTCTCTCACTAATAATTAGACTCTTCCGAGCCTGTCTCTCTCTCTCTCACTAATAATTAGACTCTTCGAGGCCTGTCTCTCTCTCTCACTAATAATTTTGACTCTTCAGGCCTGTCTCTCTCTCTCTCTCTCTCTCTCTCCTAATAATTTGACTCTTCGAGCCTGTCTCTCTCTCTCTCCCTCTCTCACTAATAATTTGACTCTTCCGAGCCTGTCTCTCTCTCTCTCTCTCACACTAATAATTTGACTCTTCCGAGCCTGTCTCTCTCTCTCTCTCTCTCTCTCTCTCTCTCTCCCTCACTAATAATTAGACTCTTCCGAGCCTGTCTCTCTCTCTCTCTCTCACTAATAATTAGACTCTTCCGAGCCTGTCTCTCTCTCTCTCTCTCTCTCTAATAATTAGACTCTTCGAGGCCTGTCTCTCTCTCTCTCTCTCACTAATAATTTTGACTCTTCGAGGCCTGTCTCTCTCTCTCTCTCTCTCTCACTAATAATTTGACTCTTCCGAGCCTGTCTCTCTCTCTCTCTCACTAATAATTTGACTCTTCGAGCCTGTCTCTCTCTCTCTCACTAATAATTTGACTCTTCGAGCCCTCTCTCTCTCTCTCTCTCTCTCTCTCTCTCTCTCTCTCTCTCTCTCTCACTAATAATTTGACTCTTCGGGCCTGTCTCTCTCTCTCTCTCTCTCTCTCTCTCTCTCACTAATAATTTGACTCTTCCGAGCCTGTCTCTCTCTCTCTCTCTCTCTCTCTCTCTCTCTCTCTCTCTCTCTCTCTCTCTCTCACTAATAATTTGACTCTTCCGAGCCTGTCTCTCTCTCTCTCTCACACTAATAATTTGACTCTTCCGAGCCTGTCTCTCTCTCTCTCTCTCACTAATAATTTGACTCTTCCGAGCCTCTCTCTCTCTCTCTCACTAATAATTTGACTCTTCCGAGCCTGTCTCTCTCTCTCTCTCACACTAATAATTTGACTCTTCCAGGCCTGTCTCTCTCTCTCTCTCTCACAAATAATTTGACTCTTCCGAGCCTGTCTATCTCTCTCTCTCTCTCACTAATAATTTGACTCTTCCGAGCCTGTCTCTCTCTCTCTCTCTCACTAATAATTTGACTCTTCCGAGCCTGTCTCTCTCTCTCTCTCTCACTAATAATTTGACTCTTCAGGCCTGTCTCTCTCTCTCTCTCACTAATAATTTGACTCTTCGCCCTGTCCTCTCTCTCTCTCTCTCTCTCACTAATAATTTGACTCTTCCGAGCCTGTCTCTCTCTCTCTCTCTCTCTCACTAATAATTTGACTCTTCCGAGCCTGTCTCTCTCTCTCTCTCTCTCTCTCACTAATAATTTGACTCTTCCGAGCCTGTCTCTCTCTCTCTCTCTCACTAATAATTAGACTCTTCCGAGCCTCTCTCTCTCACTAATAATTAGACTCTTCCGAGCCTCTCTCTCTCACTAATAATTAGACTCTTCCGAGCCTCTCTCTCTCACTAATAATTAGACTCTTCCGAGCCTCTCTCTCTCACTAATAATTAGACTCTTCAAGGCCTCTCTCTCTCACTAATAATTAGACTCTTCGGAGCCTCTCTCTCTCACTAATAATTAGACTCTTCCGAGCCTCTCTCTCTCACTAATAATTAGACTCTTCGGCCTCTCTCTCTCACCTAATAATTAGACTCTTCGAGCCTCTCTCTCTCACTAATAATTAGACTCTTCAAGGCCTCTCTCTCTCTCTCTCTCACTAATAATTAGACTCTTCAGGCCTCTCTCTCTCACTAATAATTAGACTCTTCCAGGCCTGTCTCTCTCTCTCTCTCTCTCTCACTAATAATTAGACTCTTCCAAGCCTGTCTCTCTCTCTCTCTCTCTCACTAATAATTTGACTCTTCCAGGCCTCTCTCTCTCACTAATAATTAGACTCTTCCGAGGCCTCTCTCTCTCCTAATAATTAGACTCTTCAGCCTGTCTCCTCTCTCTCTCACTAATAATTAGACTCTTGGCCTGTCTCTCTCTCTCTCTCTCACTAATAATTTGACTCTTCCGGCCTGTCTCTCTCTCTCTCTCTCTCTCTCTCTCACTAATAATTTGACTCTTCGAGCCTGTCTCTCTCTCTCTCTCTCTCTCTAATAATTTGACTCTTCCGCCTGTCTCTCTCTCTCTCTCTCTCTCTCTCACTAATAATTTGACTCTTCGAGCCCTCTCTCTCTCTCTCTCTCTCTCACTAATAATTTGACTCTTCGAGCCTGTCTCTCTCTCTCTCTCTCTCTCACTAATAATTTGACTCTTCGAGCCTGTCTCTCTCTCTCTCTCTCTCACTAATAATTAGACTCTTCCAGGCCTCTCTCTCTCTCTCTCTCACTAATAATTTGACTCTTCCGGCTCTCTCTCTCTCTCTCACTAATAATTTGACTCTTCCAGCCTGTCTCTCTCTCTCTCTCTCTCACTAATAATTTGACTCTTCGAGCCTGTCTCTCTCTCTCTCTCTCTCACTAATAATTTGACTCTTCAGGCCTCTCTCTCTCACTAATAATTAGACTCTTCGGCCTCTCTCTCTCACTAATAATTAGACTCTTCGGGCCTGTCTCTCTCTCTCTCTCTCTCTCTCTCTCACTAATAATTTGACTCTTCCGAGCCTGTCTCTCTCTCTCTCACTAATAATTTGACTCTTCGAGCCTGTCTCTCTCTCTCTCTCTCTCTCACTAATAATTTGACTCTTCGAGCCTGTCTCTCTCTCTCTCTCACTAATAATTAGACTCTTCCGAGCCTCTCTCTCTCTCTCTCTCTCTCTAATAATTAGACTCTTGAGAGGCCTGTCTCTCTCTCTCTCTCTCACTAATAATTAGACTCTTCCAAGCCTGTCTCTCTCTCTCTCTCTCACTAATAATTAGACTCTTCCAGGGCCTGTCTCTCTCTCTCTCTCTCACTAATAATTAGACTCTTCGAGCCTGTCTCTCTCTCTCTCTCTCTCTAATAATTAGACTCTTCCGAGGCCTGTCTCTCTCTCTCTCTCTCTCACTAATAATTAGACTCTTCCGGGCCTGTCTCTCTCTCTCTCTCTCTCACTAATAATTAGACTCTTCCAAGGCCTGTCTCTCTCTCTCTCTCTCTTCTAATGTCTTTCTCTCTTGGAGCCTCTCTCTCTCACTAATAATTAGACTCTTCCGAGGCCTGTCTCTCTCTCTCTCTCTCTCTCTCACTAATAATTTGACTCTTCCAGCCTGTCTCTCTCTCTCTCTCTCTCTCTCTCTCACTAATAATTTGACTCTTCCGAGCCTGTCTCTCTCTCTCTCTCTCTCTCTCTCTCTAATAATTTGACTCTTCGAGCCTGTCTCTCTCTCTCTCTCTCACTAATAATTTGACTCTTCGAGCCTGTCTCTCTCTCTCTCTCTCTCTCTCTCTCTCTCTAATAATTAGACTCTTCCAGGCCTCTCTCTCTCTCTCTCTCACTAATAATTTGACTCTTCGAGCTCTCTCTCTCTCTCTCTCTCACTAATAATTTGACTCTGCAGCCCTCTCTCTCTCTCTCTCTCACTAATAATTTGACTCTTCCGAGCCTGTCTCTCTCTCTCTCTCTCACTAATAATTTGACTCTTCCGAGCCTGTCTCTCTCTCTCTCTCTCTCACTAATAATTTGACTCTTCGAGCCTGTCTGTCTCTCTCTCTCTCTCTCACTAATAATTTGACTCTTCAAGGCCTCTCTCTCTCTCACTAATAATTAGACTCTTCGAGCCTGTCTCTCTCTCTCTCACTAATAATTTGACTCTTCCAGGCCTGTCTCTCTCTCTCTCTCACTAATAATTTTGACTCTTCCAGGCCTGTCTCTCTCTCTCTCTCTCTAATAATTTGACTCTTCAGGGCCTGTCTCTCTCTCCCTCTCACTAATAATTTGACTCTTCGAGCCTGTCTCTCTCTCTCTCTCTCTCTCTCTCACTAATAATTTGACTCTTCCGTGCCTGTCTCTCTCTCTCTCTCTCACTAATAATTAGACTCTTCCGTGCCTGTCTCTCTCTCTCTCTCACTAATAATTAGACTCTTCGAAGGCCTGTCTCTCTCTCTCTCTCTCACTAATAATTAGACTCTTCGAGCCTGTCTCTCTCTCTCTCTCTCACTAATAATTAGACTCTTCCAGCCTGTCTCTCTCTCTCTCTCTCACTAATAATTAGACTCTTCCGAGCCTGTCTCTCTCTCTCTCTCTCTCACTAATAATTAGACTCTTCCGAGCCTGTCTCTCTCTCTCTCTCTCACTAATAATTAGACTCTTCCGAGCCTGTCTCTCTCTCTCTCTCTCACTAATAATTAGACTCTTCCGAGCCTGTCTCTCTCTCTCTCTCTCTCTCTAATAATTAGACTCTTCCGAGCCTGTCTCTCTCTCTCTCTCTCTCTCACTAATAATTTGACTCTTCCGAGCCTGTCTCTCTCTCTCTCTCTCTCACTAATAATTAGACTCTTCGAGCCTGTCTCTCTCTCTCTCACTAATAATAATTAGACTCTTCAGGCCTGTCTCTCTCTCTCTCTCTCACTAATAATTAGACTCTTCGAGCCTGTCTCTCTCTCTCTCTCTCTCTCACTAATAATTAGACTCTTCGAGCCTCTCTCTCTCTCTCTCACTCACTAATAATTAGACTCTTCCGAGCCTCTCTCTCTCTCTCTCTCTCTCTCTCTCTAATAATTACACTCTTTCATGTCTCTCTCTCTTACTAATAATTACACTCCTCCTCTTATTATTACCATCACCATTTGTTACTCATACTTTTTCTCGAGGTCCGGGGAAAGTTTGAGCATTGCACTTATAAATGGACATGCGTCACTGAGTTATGAGGATCCTTAGTTTAAAACACAAAAAACTTCAAAAGTAGTTCATGTGAGTCAAGATTTTTCTTTATTAAAACATCAAGACTATTTAGATTTCTAACAACTTTCTAGTCCTTCCTTCCACATTAACTATCCTTTTTACAGGTGGTATAACTATTGTCTTTTTAAATTGAGGTCAATAAAAAGCAATAACTAAGCTTTTTCAAATTAAACTTTAGGAAAGATATGAACATGAATTCTAGATAAAATAATTTGCTTATCACTTTAGTGTTGGTTCATCTTTTATTAGAAAAAAAATAAGGAGTGTAATACTGAGAAATATAAGATTTTTTTTTTTTTTAAATTTCCCAAGAGCATATTGCAATGTGTATTAATTTATCTAAGGTTGAGGATATTAATTTTTGACACATGGAACTCTGTTAACAACTTTAGATAGTTGTAGCTATTCTGTACTTGATCCAAGCCTGGAAATCTGCATAAAAAAACCTATTTGTTTATGAAAGTACTACTGATTATATATTTTTACTTAAAATCTTGAAATGATGCTTTACAGATAAGATACTGTTATTCAACATTTAAAATTGTAAAGGATTTGCCTTTAAAATAAGACTATGATCTCTGAAGGTATCGAATATTTCAAACAAAACACTATCAATAAGAACTCTTTCTCCAAATACAATGTGTGTTTGTTAGATTTATTAAGGGACAAAATTGATAACTTATTGCAACAGATACTGAAAAAGGATTTATTTGTAGGAATTTTACCTACTAGAGTTGACACTTGTTGAAATCCTTACAGTATTTAGTATTGTTGGAGTTATCGCTATCATTCTTTGTCGAAGATAGATAAGTATTTATTTTAATCATGAAATTGTTTTTAAAATAGTGTATTTTGTATGTTAAATAATAAAACTTAATTTTACAAAAAAAAAAAAATTAATGAAAATTTATTTTACTAAATTATGCACCCTAGTAGAACCAACTGTACTCTGTACCACCTTGCCTGTTTGCACTTCCCTACAAAATATAGTTTCAATCGGTCAATATATGGCTATTTTAGAGGTTGTGATGGACTAACAGAGGTCACAGAATTTTATATATATAAAAGATGCAATTTTAATTACTTTTGCTTGGAATAAAAGATTTCGTTGTTGAACTTACAGAAGTCCAAAGCATTTTGTGATATCTATAGTTAAATCTGTAACTTTTTTCTCCAAGCCACATAAAAGAAGCAATCTGGTGTCATGTTGTTCAGGGTGTAGCAGATATTTGAGAACACACTTTTGCAGGCCATGAATGGAAAACGCCTTAATTTAAAGTTATGCAGCATATGTCAAATTTAACATCATTTAGGTTAGATGTATTGAGAGCAGTATCATGGCACTTTCCATTCTGACACAGGAAATGAAAGGGCATGCTATATTTATGGCAATACCTGAAAACCATATGGTATCCCTGTAATAGTCCTTAAGAAATGTACTCCTGAATTGGCTACTGTTCTCTCTAAACTCTACAGTAAATGCTGTGCTGTTTCTTGCTTTCTTGCTTGTTGGAATTCCTCATTTGTAGTTAGAGTATTTAAGAACTCACACAAATCTGATTGTTCTATTGGCCTTCTACCTCTCATTTCTGAATTGGTTAAGCATCTCACCTGGCAGGATTTTATTTCATATAAGCAGTTTGCCTTTTGCTTCTCTAGGTTACCTGTTGATATATTAATGATTATTGTTGAAAGAGTCTACCAAGCTTTTGATAAGAATGGTGAAGTTTGGGCTGTTGTTTTGGACAGGGTTTGTAGGGCCCCTGATTTTCCGTTTCAAATTTTCTTTGATTCCTTTTCTACATTTGGTAAATTCTGTTGTTTTTTTTTTTTTTTTTTTCCTTTTTTTATTTTTAGGAAATTTCATTTTTTTTTTCATTTTTATTGCATATAAAGAAATGGCAAATGTATACAAATCTTTTTTTAAATGTTAAAATCCAAGTCCAAGGATATATGTAAAAATAAAAAAAAATCTAACATGACTAGACAATAAAACAATGGAATGTTACAGTGCATAATTATCTTTGAGGTAATCAAAGCTTCCTTCTTTAAGAACATGTTCAAAACGTATTCAGATTGTTTTTGTTTTTTTTTTAAGTAAAAGGATTTAGATTGATTTATAATTATTGATTCATAATATAAAAATCACATTTAAAGTATCAACTGCATATAATTTGAGTCTCAATAGTAAATATCTGGATGAAGTCAAACATTTTGACTAAAATTTTACAAAACAGTAATTAAACCATAATAAGTGGATCTTTGTAACAAAATATCAAAAAACAAATTAGAAATATTAATTCAAAATTTAAATAAAACAACTTATCCCAAGTTGAAATACTGCTCAAATTTAAAATCACTAATTTCTTAATTTGGGAATTAACTCTATGGAGACAGAATTTGCAAAATAACATTTTCTTCTGTATAAAACTAAAAGTCATCAGGAAATTTCTCTACTCTGGCTTTTTAGCTCAAATTTTAACTACTGGGGTTTTTTTTTTTTTTTTTTTTTTTTTTGAGAGAGTGGAGCAAGAGGCCCAACTTTTTGAGGTTGATTCAGTCATCTTGGCAATTTATTGTTTATTCATGCAATTGGTTTAGATTACAAAATATAAATAAAATATTAAAAAATAATCACTGACAGTTATGTTAGTAAAGGATTATTTGGTTCAATTTAAATTTGTTTACAATGGTGAAGCACTGAAGATGATGCAATCCAAGAGAATCCTTATGCGACAGTAAGCTTAGATAAGCCAGTCATTTCATAGAATGGTGTTTTTGGAGAAATTTTTTTTCTTTATTTCTAAATTGTATAGTAGGCATGTGATAGCATTTACTTTTTCATTTTCATTAAACAAGCTTAAAAGTTGTTTAGAATCTTTTACATGTAAATTGTGTAGGGCCTAAAGGAAATGAATTTCTTAAACTTATTGGTTTAATCTTCATCTCTCTCTCCCCACCTTCCAATTTTGACATCAGCTAGTGCTTGTCTTCCATTTCCACTTTAGCAATGGATTTCGGTAGTCACAACCGAGCCATGACCTGACTTTCATCTTGTTTGCAACATACAGATTTTTAGAAAAGTTATAAAATATTTAAAAATAGACTAGCCAACATATTCTCAGAAAAATGACAACCCACTTTTCTTTTTTTATGTAAACATGTTTGTTCTTAATTATTTTTGGGGTTTTATAAGGAAAATAACTACAAATATTTGTAAAAACAAATTTTAAGGAAATAACTACATTACGTTATATTAAAATGTCTAACAAAATTGGAGAAACAGTTATTAAGTTTTGAAAGAATTAAAAAAAATCAAATAATTATTTATTATTGAAAATCACATTAAAAACTAAGATTCTGTTTAAGATTAACAATTCTGGAAAATTTATTCCGCTGGTTTGGCATAATGATTTTTCTTTACGAATTGAAAAGTTATGGTATTTCTGTACAAATTTTTGATCTGATTCAATCTTACTTAACAAATCATGAAATGAAAGTTGTCTTGAATGGCTACTATTCTAGGTCTTTTTGCATCAATGCATGTGTTCCCCAAGGCTCTATCCTTAGACTTATTCCTAATTTTCATCAACAACTGTCTTGCTGTCATCAGTCATCAACTTGGTATCTCTGCTGATAAC